TTACTATAGGCAGTTCATTCCAGCCTGTGCTTCCTTGACCACCCTGCTGACTCAACTTCTCCAACCCAAAGAACCCTTCCGCTGGACTGCAGAAGCCAACCAGGCATTCTCTACCTTGAAGACACACTTTGTGACGGGGCCACTCTTACGGTATCCCGACCCTCAGCTACCCTTCACGGTGGAGACAGACGCCTCTAGTGTAGCTATTGGGGTAGTGCTGTCCCAGCGTGATACAGCATCCCAGCTGCTGCAGCCTCGTGCATACTACTCGCGCCAGTTAACAGCTGCCGAACAGAACTACACGATCTGGGAAAGAGAGCTGCTGGCCATCAAGGCAGCCTTCGAGGCTTGGAGACACCACCTCGAAGGAGCATCATTGAATCCAGGTCTTTCTGATATTAACACTCTCTGATACTAGCACTCTTCCTTCTATTGTGCACTGGCTCTGTGCTGATGCTATAGAAAATATTTTAGGCAAGCTGATTTTAGGTTTGCCAGCTTGAGGTAGTACTTTTAAGAGTTTTATCAGTGGCCTTGGTGGAGATACATATTTCATACATAGCAGCACCTTGCAAAAAACATGATATAGAAGAAACGCATTTCATGATGGGAACTACTTCACTGATGGCAAAGCACTGTGTGTGCCTTTGTTCCTAACAAAAGCACAGTTGTTTTCTTTTGTGTACATTTTGCCTTGGACTGTTCTGCATTCTGTTTTATTCTACAAAGGGATATTGGTTACTGTCCCCCACCCCCCAGAAAAACTTTCAGCCTTTTAAGATATAGGTTTGCAACTTCAAATCAGACATCTGACAGGTAGGCCAAAACTGAGGCTTGAAAACCATGACTGTGTCTCTTTAAGACTTGAGACTTTGGACAGTTAGCAAGCTTTCACTAGGGATAACAGAAACCTGTTAAACAAGTTTAATGAAGTGGAGCTCCTGAATGTAGGGTTACCTGTAGCTGGTTCATTGCCTATAACTCTTCTCTAATAACACGAGGTAAAATTTTACTGGTATTCCCTTAGAGAAATAAAGCACAAAACTGATTTTCCACATGGCTGTATTCATCTTCTTTGTCCTCAGTTAGGTCAACCCTTCTTGTTAGGGAACTCCAGTTAGACTAGAGTGCCTCTCATAACTGAGATATATGTTCAACATCTCCTGGAGGGAGGACACTTTAAACCCCAGCACTAATACAGATGATTTTGTGGCCTTTTCTTTTACAAGGTGCTTTAAGACCCTGTACTAAGATGCACTGATGGCATATCTGTCCCGAAATGAAGAGCTATATAGATATGAGTTACTTCAGTTAATTGAGACTGTCCTTATACAGACCTCTCTCTATATTAGATCTGAGAAAATCTGGCTTACATTTAATGTTCACTGTGTTCACATATATCTTCCTGTGCTGTTTGAAAAAGAACTCAGAATTGTGTTAGGTACCTAATGTTACAAATTACAGGGTACAGGCTTTGAACAAATACATTTGAAGAATTAGAGGACCCACATTTTTGGTAACTAAAATCTATACTGATCAGGAGTCAAGGTGCTACTTTTAAGCATGCACACTACTAGCAATTTTTTGTTAGTATTTTATTGCTTTCTGAAACATTCATCCTGCTTTTCAACAATGTGACCAAAGTGGTCAACAATACATCACATAAAATATAACAGCTTAACAATTATCATGAAAATTTCGAGAACAAACAGCAAGACATAACAGAGCCATGTATGTCAACTGATTTTGATGTTTTCTATGAATGTCAACAGATGGTAAAGAACAGTATATTGGAACAGAGAATCAGCCATTTGAGGACAGCCAGAGGCATATCAAATTATTTCTATTGTTCTGCCCTGTACCACAATCTGCCTGACTATCACAGTGGGGTCAAAATCTATAAAGTAACCTTGGTACACTGCCAGACTTCTCAGGTATACAGGGAATTGATTTCTGTGAATCCACATAGAAAGAACAAAAGAGCTTCAATATTAATGGGAGAGCATGCCTGGTAACAAACATGACTTAGCAGTACTTGTATGGACAATCAAACTGCAAAAAGTATTTTATTTAAAGACATAAGCTACGTGGTATCTTGTATATATAATTCCCGTACGTATTGGCCATTTCCAGCTTTCCCATTGGCTGTTCAGTGCGCTCCATCAGCCATTGACCCATCAACTGCCACTCAAGAGTACTCGCGTGCCATTGGCTGGGTGCTGGGTCTACTCTTCTCCCCCACCCACTGCCAGCTTGGACACTCTTCTCACACAGAATAAACAGCCAAACGGCTGTCTCTCCTGATGAAGACATTTCTCCTTCTTGGCTCCTGTGGGACTAGCTTTTCCCTCAGTGGCTGTTGCTAGGCAACCATGCTTGGTTCTTTCAGTAAAAAGGCAAAGGCTGGCGGCGCTTTTCAGGCCTTTGTGGGGAACTCATTGGGACCAGTCCTGACTATGGTTGCCAGCTCCAGGTTGGGAAATTCCTGGATATTCTGTGGTGGAGTCTACGGAAGCCAGAATTTGGGGAGGGGAGAGGCCTCAACTGAATAGAATGCCACAGAGCCCACCCTCCAAAGCAGTTATTTTCTCCAAGGGGGGAGAGATCTGTTGTCTGGAATTCAGTTGTGATATCTGGCGATCTTCAGGCTCCACCTGGAGGTTGGCTACCCTAGGTGTAGCAGTTAGTGCTTTAGAGCAGGGTCTGCCAGACCCAGGTTCTTGCTGTGGAAGTTGAGTGGGTGATTTCGGACCAGTCACAGACTTTCAGCCTAATCTACCTCACTGGGTAGTTGTGCAGATCAAAAGGAGAGGAGAATGATGTAAGCTGCTTTGATCTCAAGTGCAGAGAAAGACCGTACCTTTCCTCCTCGGGGACCATTGGTGCCAATCTCCAGGTGAGGGCTGGAGATCACTCAGAATTAAAACTGCTCTCTAGATGGCTCCCCTGTAAAAAAATGGCTGCTTTTCTGGGTGGACTCTGTGTCATTATACCCTGCTGAGGTCGCTTCCCTCCTGCTTGGGTCCCCACTGTGAAGAGAAACTGTAGTTTTCCTATGTAGAGGCTACAGGAAGGGGGGAAGAGATGAAACCTAAAGTAAGAGGGGCAGATAACAGTATGTTGATGGTTGGCTGGGAAGGAAATAGGGTTGCCACTTCCGGGTTGGGAAATTCCTGGAGATTTGAGGGGTAGAGCCTGGAGAGAGTGGGGTTTGAGGAGAGGTGGGACCTCAGACAGTTACAAAGCCATAGACTCCACCCTCCAAACCAGCCATTTCCTCCCGGGGAACCATTGTTGCCAATCTCCAGGGGAGGGATGGAGATCCTTCCAAATTACAACTTCTCTTCAGATGGCAGAGATCAGTTCCCCTGGAGAAAATGGTAAGCTCTGTGTCATTATACCCTGCCAAGGTCACCAAAGCAAATTGACACTGAGTGCCTAAGGCCAGGGCACCCGCCCAGAGCTTCTTTCTAGATCTTGTTGTATTTATTTCCACAATGGGCCTTATTCCTAGTTTGAAATAAAATGTGAGTCCAATGGCTTAAAGACTAAATAGCCACTGGACTCCTGTTTTACTTTCCTGCTTCAGAATAACTTGACTATCTACCTGGAATCTTCATCATGATATTTGAAAGAAAGGAAATTTCTGAAAATAATACAAGGCAAAAAAGTAGTGGAAAAAAGGTCCCTACACTGCTTCGCATGTTGTTTTGCCAAGACAGAGTTCAAATTTACATGCTTTCAAGCATTTGTTGGTTTCATGCCATTTTCAAGGATTTGATATTGGGGGGGGGGGGGAGAAGATCGCTTAATGCCATAGTTTCCAGGTAGAGTACAGTGAAGCAAAGAAAGCTGGTAGGGCAAACCTTGCACCAACTGGGAATCTTTTCAGATCAAATAGAATTAACCCTGGTTGTATCTCATGGAGACTGAAAGTGTGTCCTGTTGGGATTGATAAAAACAAGGCTTTTTGGCCAAAGAAAAGACTGGAATAGCTTGTGTAGGAGAGGAAAGAAAATAGAACTAATAGAAAGGTTTCTTTACCCTGTTACATGAATTGAAAACTGATCGTGCAGAGGACAGTAAACAAAATGGGTTTCATTGTGGTATTCCCTTGCTGATTGCTCTTTTGGCCTTTAAAATGCAGAGCTAGTTTTAGCTGACCAAAATTTAGAACTCTGCCATTTCCCATCACATTATCCTTCAAAAGGGCAGAAAGGAACAGTTGTTGGAATGAGTGAAACTTGCTTTTGATTAAAAGTAGTTTGCCAGTCTCTGCTAATAGAATATCAGTAATCATCTTTGAGCATGTGTGGTAAAAGAGGGTTTGAGTTTTGTAATTCTCTGGCATGTCTTTTACTGTTTAGGTTAGGTTAGGAAAAATGGCTATAATGACTGCACTCATGTAGAAGGTATTCACATTCATTTCCCTGTAATGTAATTTAATTCACAATTAGCAGGTTTTCATAGTTCTGTTTAAACTAGATAAACCTCTTTGTGATCAGTACCCTACTGTTAGATGCTTAATCTTAAAAATATCATTTATTTCAGCAAAATTTAGGTGCACAAAATAGGTTCATGGTGAGGCTTTGGGAAAGTTTATTGTAGAAGTTTTTTTATTTACAGCTTAGAATTAAATCTTGCTTATTTCACTATAAATTACTTTCTCAAGTAAATTACTTTCTCAAGTAACAGCTTCAATTGCATTAGGTTAGTTTAGGAGTTTCTGACACCATGTTATCTAGACAATATTACACCATTACTTTGAAACGATGCTATAGTTTGTTCTTCCACTTTAAAATATTTCATGTTTCAGATACTACAAAGCTGTGTATAAACATTTAGGCTACAAAATTTAAGAAACGTGATCCCACTGCTGTTTTTCTGTTGTAGTAGTGTTACTTCAAAGATCAAAGGTACTTGCTGCCATTTTGTTTTTGGTTGCAGTTTGATGTTTTCAATTTTATATAAAATTTTTAATTTTTTCTCTCCATTTAAAGATTTGAAATTGAAATAGAGCCAATTTTTGCAAGTTTGGCATTGTATGATGCAAAAGAAAAGAAAAAGGTAAGTTATTTATAACATTTATGTGTTTGTTTACAGGGCGTGAACTACAGTAAGAGTTCTATGTTCTGTTTTCAGCCCCAAAGCTCAAGAGTCACATCAACATGTTAGGAAGTAGCACAAAATGATCTGGATGGAAAATAAGAGAGCTTGAAGGCAAAAGTATGCAATCTGGGCATTTCGAGCCTTGAAGGGATAAAACTATATATGTAAGACAAAGATCAGTGCACAAAAACTGGGGTCATTTAGGGTATTTATAACCTATGCATAGAAGATAGAATTTCCCTCACTTTTGTTTTTCTTTTAACCTATAAAATATAATTTCAGAATTTCAGCAAATTAAATTAATATGAGATGATTCACTCAGACAAAATAGAAATAAAAGAACATCAGTCTGTTCTCATTGGTTAGGTCTTGCAACCCAAGCAAATAGATTTCCCATGCAACACCTTTTACTACAACTTCTTGAATATTTCAGTTTTTTCTGTGAAATACATTTTAAATATAATGTAATCTCTTGTATAAGATGCCTGTTAAATTGGTAAAATGCACGCTGTGTTTTATTGTTCTGAGAAGTTAGTGTGTTTTATTTTTAAATCTAGAAGTGGTCAGTGTCCTCTGGTTGTGGTATAACGGCAGTTCATAAAGTTTGCTTTTCTGTCACTTCATGGGCATATGAACTATCGCTTTGTTTCATTCCTAATATAGGAATTCCTGCATTGTTCTGTATTAATAATTTCAAGGCAGTTTCTTGGGCTGTGACCATCTCACCTGATGTTTTATCCTTCCTCCATGCTGCTGCAGAGTGCTGCAGTCTGGTAATGGCAACAAGCGTGTCCTGGGAAGGGAAGAGTAAAGGAAGTCATCTGCTTCAGCAAGAATGACTATCTGCAAGGGTTAGCTGAGTTAAACAGGATTATGAGCTTTCTGGTCCCCTGATCAGGAAAGAGGTGATGCCTTCCTTCCCCATTGCCCTTCCCTCCTATCCTAGCCAGCCTCCCACCTCTTCAGCTAGGGCTGCTAGTGCCCTCATCATTTTACCACTTCCTGTCAAGTGGTGCTAAGTGGCTTCGGCAGTTGCAAAAAACAGTGACAGTGTTGGCAGCACATTTGCCATTTGGAACAATTAATAGATATTTTCAGTGTGTTTTCTGGCCTAGATAAGCGAGAGAAAAGTAATGGGAATGGGTAGGATGGTATATGCTAGTGATTCTTAATGAGGGGCATGCAACCTCCTATGGCAATTTACAAATCTTGGGGCAGGTTTCAAATGGGGGGGCTAATGGGGTTATCTGGGATCGTAGGCAGCCCCATCTTCCCACTTGCAATAGCTTGTGACAGCCAGCAGAGGAAAGCTGTTTGTTAATACTAACCCTGCTTAGATGTCTCAGCGGGCCCAGACCCAAAGCAAATAAGAATCAAACCTAACATTAAGGTGTTAGATCAGTGGTACTCACTCTGCAGCTTGTGGAGAGCTAAATTCACAATTACTGTCAACCAGAAGAGCCACATAACAACTGTATGCCTTGTGTGCCACCCCACCAAGCACACAGTACAATAAAATGTAGTTTGTAGTCAACACAATAAAAGTACTTGAATATGAGAGATAACAATATTAACTATAACCTTTTTTAGTTACTAGATTACTTTTGAGCATGTAAGGTTGTGGTCTTCCCACCATTGTTGAACCTTAGCCAGTCCCTGTGTATCTGGAGTGAGATGAAAGGCCTCCTCTCTGCCTTTTTGCTCTCGCCTCAGAATGAGAAACAAGGCTCCCAGAGAGAAAGGGGAGTAAACCCCCCCAATGGCCAACTTGCTCTTGCTGGGTGGCTGGAGTGATGGTGGTGGTAGTCAATGTTCCCTCTAAGCCGTGAGCAAAAATTCTACTTTGTGAGCTACTTGCATTAAAATTGTGAGTGAGTGATTTGGCTACTGCCTAAATTAGTTTGCTGTGGAGCCATTCTCCCTGAGCTAAGACAAAAATGTGTGAGCTGGAGGCTAAAAAACTGTCAGCTAGCTCACACTAACTCAGCTTAGAGAGAACACTGGTGGTAGTGCCTTTACTTTACCTTCTCTGTGGCCAGCTTGCAGCTTCCCGAGTCCTGGGATGAAAATGTAGAGGCTGCAATGAAGGGTGAGGGGTTGTTGGAGAGAATGAACCATTTACCTACATCCCTGGTATGAGGCCTACAGTTTAAGGAGGCTCACTGCTTACCTAGCCTCTAGTCCCCGTAGCAGCAGTTGTTTTCAAGGAGGGAACCATCTGCCCACTGCAATTGGCCTTGTGTGTCATACTGGAGCTCAGAGCTCAGAATTCCAGATGACAAGTCAAAGAGCTACATGTGGCTCCTGAGCCACTGAGTACTGAGTTAGATGATGGACATAGGCACAAGGATCGCATTGAATGTATATGTGAGATCTATGGGGTGTATGCATGTAGCATAAGTATGCATAAATCTGCCTTATTTGAAGTGCTACTTTTATATCCTAATATTTAGTTTGGGCTCAGAGCCTTTGATAATTATGTGTGTTTGGAATAGGGTTGCTAATCCGGGAGGGGAAATTCCTGGAGATTTGGGGGTGGAGTCTGGGAATGGCAGGCTTTAGGGAAGGAAGGGACCTCAATGAAGTATAATGCTATAGAGTCCACCCTCCAAAGCAGCCATTTTATCCAGGGGAATTCATCTGTGTTGTCTGGAGATGAGTTGTGATTCCGGGAGATCTCCCAAGCCCCACCTCGAGAGTGGCAACCCTGGTTTGGAGGGAGGTAGACATCTAAGAACCATTAATATATGCTTCCATCATTATGGGTCTCCTCTGTATTTTCTCAGATTGCAAAAGATAGCACAGCATTAAAACAGCATAGAATTAAGATGGTGGGAGGGCCTTGTAGTTGTAGATTTCACTGGGCATGTAGATTTGGTGTGAGGAATGGAATTCTAGAGTGTGAACAAAAAACCCTGTGTTAACATCATATTTGTTTGATTAACTATTCAGAGGATGCAAGCCTTAGCATTTAGCTGAACAGCTTGCTATGCTCTCCTCTGGTGACCAATGTTCCCTCTAAGCTGTGGAGTCTCATGAGCAAAAATTCTACTTTGTGAGCAACTGGCATTAAAGTTATGAGCGAGCGATTTGGCTACTGCATAAATTAGTTTGCTCTGGAGCCCTTCTTCCTGAGCTAAGACAAAAAATCTGTGAGTCGGAGGCTAAAAAACTGTGAACGAGCTCACACTAACTCACCTTAAAGGGAACACTGCTGGTGACTGATAGTATCAACAGTTGCAGTGGGAAGAGGCAAATGGGACTCCTTATCTATATTTGGGGTAGAAGATATATTAGATATAATTGTTCCATTACCATTGTTCCCGCTAAACTGAGTTAGTGTGAGTTAGCTCACAGTTTTTTAGCCTCCAGCTCACAGATTTTTGTCTTAGCTCAGGGAGGAGGGCTCCAGAGCCAACTAATTGATGCAGGAGCCAAATCGCTCGCTCACAGCTCTTATGCCAGTAGCTCACAAAGTAGAATTTTTGCTCACGAGACTCCACAGCTTAGAGGGAGCATTGTTTTTCTGTTATGGTTTGGTTGTATCAAATGGAGATCTGCTTGCAAAATGGTATTTTCCTGCTTCCCCCCCCCCTCACTGCAGCCCACTCTCCCCCTCAACACAGCATCTGGGGTTCAGGGGACTCGCAGGAACAGTAGTCACAGTGTGTGTGGAGAGCATAGTCTGCAGGGAGACAAAGGAACTGGCAAGCAATGCCTTCCTGTTCTTCTGTGGGCAGAAGTGGCCTTCTGCTAGAAGAAAATAAGCATTAGACAATAATAATAATATCTTTCAATTATTAATCGCTCAATCCTGCAGAGCTGCTGGCTCTGAGCGATTTATAGTTACACATATTAACAAGGGACTAACAATGATTCGTAGGGGGTAAGAGAGGACAACATATAAATCTTATTAAGTTGCACACATTTGCAGCTGACAGGGTTTTTGTTCAGCTGTAGACTTAGATGTGTTCCAGACGGCATTCACTCGGCTTGACTTGATGACGTCAGTTTTTCCAGGACTGCTTCGAGTCACAGCATCGCACTGCCACCGCCTGGCCGGATTGGCCCATCACAGGCTTCTTAATGCCGAAGAGATCTTTCCAGGCTTCCGAGCTGGACATTCCGTTTCGCCGGCTAACACCTCCCCCCACCGGGGGGGTTTAGTGTGCCCACCCTCTCTAAGGAGTGGTACCCATTTTATCTACTCGCCGAAGCTTTCGAACCGCTGGGTGGATGGCGAGCTGGGGACGAGGCTGGTAGCTCACACCAGCACGGGCTAGAACTGACAGCAGTTCTGTTCAGTTCAGATGTTACTGTAACCAGAGGATAAATCCTCTGTGCCACCGCTCCAAACCATTCTGGGTTGTACTTCGTTTAAGTCCCAACAAACAATCTGCTAAATACAGATTCGTATGTCTTGTTTGGTATGTATTTGAAAACAAAAAAGAGAAGTCATGTTGGTGCATTTTACGTGACTTGTGAGAAAGCTCTTTCCTGCTGTTTCTGCCAGTTTTCCAGTATTTTTGTGGAATGTTAGGCATGTTTGGTTGTAAGTGAAATGAATTGCTCTAACATTTTCAAATCATGTATTTTATTAGTTATTCAGGAGTTTGACACCTATACAAATCTGCAACTAACTGATACATTCTTTCAGATTTCAGAAAACTTTTACTTTGATTTAAACTCAGAACAAATGAAAAGCATGTTGCGTCCTCATGTACCGCCTGCTGCCATAACAACGTTGGCCCGGTCAGCCATCTTTTCTATTACCTATCCCTCTCAAGATGTTTTCCTGGTAATAAAGGTAAGAGGTTCTATTTCCGTTTGTACAATATAGATATTATTGGATAGACAAATGTTTTTAATGTATCAGTAAGGCCTGACAGTAAGGACAAACATTATGCTCCAGTGCCTTACTAATTAAAAGTTTTAGAATACATGGGACATTTTAAAATAAAAATGTTGCCTGAATAGAAGGAATAATTAAAAAAACCAAACCCCTCTTATATAGAATTTGAAGGGACCTTTATCATCTTAATGCAGGAAATAGAAAGCTAGAGCATTCTAAGCAGATGGTTGTCCAGACTCTGTTTCAAGACTACCAGTGAGGAAGAGCCTCATAATTGATTCCGTTGTCAATCTGCTCTTACTATTAAGAAATTATGTTAATATTCAGCCACAGTTTGCTACCCTCCTGTAATGATAGCACCTAACCTTCTGGATTAGCAGAGAACAAGTCTTTGCCTTCTTCTCCAGTGGTCCAGGAATGGGACATTCCTTACTCCTAGGATTAGGCTCCTCCTCCTGAAACAGGGTCAGTCTTGCTGATTGATGCAGATGGGGAAGTGGCCTATCCCCTGGAGCCACCTCAGTCATCTCCAAGCCATAAAGTCCCCCTCAGTCTGGTTTCACTGGAAGATACACTTCTCAACCGTAATCAACATGGTTGCACTAAGCATAAACATATAATCCTTAACTGTGTAGAATCCATATGAATGCAGTCACTGAAGTCCCCTGCACCCTGTTCACCTAAAAGCCGGTAAGTGAAGTCAAATCTTCCGTTACACGTGACAGCCCTTCTGGTATTAGAAAAGTGTGATCTGTATTCACATTCTGTGGCCTGGTTTGAAATTAGTATGTGATTTTACAGCTAATTAATGTTAATAAGAGATGAAGAAAAATAAATAACAATCTGGAAGAATTATGAATGTATTTGGTCTACTGTATATGGCTTTCTGTCCTTCCCTTTCCCTTTTAAATCTTACTTCGAATTTGTACATTATAGTAATACTGTTCATTTGTAAAAAAGTTTTCTATATAGGAACATACTCAAAGTGCTGTTCAAGTAATAAAATCAGTCAACAGTAACGTACATCAGAATAAAATGGTTATTCCGAAACAAAGTAAAAGCAAAATGCAGTCATCAGCATCTCCTCCCTTACTCTGAGTCGCCAAAAAAGCCCTGCCAAGAAGCCATATTTTCACAAGATGATAGAGAGAATAGTGAGATAGCAAGGTGCGTCTTCCAGGGTCAGGCATTCCGGTGAATCAGTACAATTGCACCAGAAGTCGTGTTCTGGGTCACACCAATTCAATCACTGTAAAAAAAAAAACGTGAAGTCCAGCCCTCCTGCAGAATTTAGCTGAAGTCTTGGACCTGCAGTTGAATTGCAGGCAGAAATATGTGGTTGGATCCAGAGAACAGTGAGTGGAGCCCTACTTGTGGAATAGATCCTTCCTGTCTTCTGCAGCCCCTGGGCAACCCAAAAAACTGCTTCTAAAGGTCAGGTGACCCTTAGAAATGGTGTGGGCTGTAGCACAAGGCTTAGGGAGTTTTGTAGTTTGAGTGGGAAATGGCAAAAAATTGCAGATCCCTACTTGGAAGCAGAAGTGTTTTCTTTTCGTGCAAGGGTACTTTTAAGATCCAGCCGAGAGATCTTACTTGTATATGTTTGACTGAAACTTCTTTCCCCCTTTTTATGGCAGTGTATTATACAATACAACTGGTTTTCCCAACCTTGTTGACAAAAACTGTTTAACCTTCATTAAACAATTGGTTTGTGAGTGTGTATGCAGTATATGGCTCCCGTGTTACTTATCTTTTTTAATCCCTCTCCATAGCTGGAAAAGGTGTTGCAGCAGGGAGATATTGGGGAGTGTGCAGAGCCATATATGATTTTAAAAGAAGCAGATGCTGCTAAGGTAATTCTTAAATATTTTTAAGCTCAATGACCTTTTTAGATAATTGTAATTGTTAGCCACTCTGGTGCAGTAGACAGAGTATTGACTTCAGATTGACATGCTGTTCTGCTGTTCAGCTGTGCAGCTTGCTGAGTGGTTGTGTTTAAGTGCTGTCTCTCAGCTTGACCTATGGGTGCGAGTAAGAAATAGGATCCAGTGATATCCTCCCTGAATACTTGACACAAGGCTGGAAAGGATTCTATATAAATAATAGTAAGATTTGAGTGTACTTTCTCTTTTGTTCTAAAGCAGCACATTATGAGCCCTTATAGCTGTCAAACAGCTTGGAATAATTGGGGGAGATACTTGGAGGAAATCCCTAGAGTTCTGTTATGGCTCAGTTACAGATTCTGGGTCTCTTTCACTCACATGAAAATGAAAACAAAGCATTGTGTTTGAGCTAAAAAATGTCTTGGGTTGGAGGAGTACACTTTGCAATGGAGGACTGCTCACTATAAGCAGAAGAAAAGCAGAGGATCAAGGCCACTGTTCTTAACACTGTTAATATTTCAGTTCTTAAAAAAAAAATTTATGTGCATTCGAATTTGCTTATGCAGAACAAGGAAAAACTGGAGAAACTGAAAAGCCAAGGAGAACAATTTTGCCAAAGGCTTGGCAAATATCGAATGCCTTTTGCATGGACAGCCATTCACTTAATGAACATAGTCAGCAGCGCGGGAAGTTTGGAGAGAGATTCAACAGAACTAGAAATTGCTGCAGGAGGTTGGTATCAAGCATGCTCACAGAAAAATCCAAAATAGATCTTAGACTGTTAAGAATTGTGGAGTAAGACATAGTTGAAATGGTCAGAGGTGCTCATAGTGTAGTATAGTGCTCCTAAATCAAAATGTGCCTGCATTTGGAATGCAACTTGTTGCTAAAATCAGCCTCCTTTTTAGTGGACTGTAAGGTAGTGAATGGAGCACTGAAGCACATACAGAAATTGGCCCTCGCCCTGATTTATCAACCTTTTAAAGTTTTTTTTAAAATGATATTAACCAGGGGTCTTTTCGACCCGGAGCCGTCCGGAGCGCCGCTCCAGCAGCCCGCGTGGCAGCAAGCCCCGCCCTCGGGTCCCCCGAGCCCTGTCCCTGGGTCCCCCGAGCCCCTGCAGGAGCACTACGGATCGGAGGAGGCCTGGAGAGCCCCGTCCCCGGGTCCCTCGAGCCTGCGAGAGAGCGCTGCAGCTCGGGGGAGGCCTGGAGAGCCTCACCCCCGGGTCCCCCGAGCCTCCTCTTTGCTCCCTGGGGCAGCTGCGCTTCGGTGCGAGCCCCAGGCAGGTGGCGACGGGCCTCCTCTTTGCTCCCTGGGGCCGCTGCGCTTTGGCGCGAGCCCCAGGGAGCACAGAAGAGGCCCGTCATCATCGGCTCCCTGGGGCTCCCGCCGGGGCCCAGCCGCCCCCGGGG